GCTAAAAATGTGTTTTTTCGTATACTCAGGGGCCATAATCCAAGAAGTTACGGTCCGATATGCGCCAATATCGAGATCTTTGGGTCATCAACATACATTGTAAGTTTAGTCAAAATCGATAAAAATTGTGACCTCTAGAGCGTCCACAAACTTGGTATTATTATGCATATATTTGTCCAGTGCTTTAATAATAATAATAATAATAATAATAAAAACTTTACTTAATGAGGCAACGTATTTAGTTTGCAAAAAAAAAACAATCTTCCATAAGTCCCTCCAAAGCTACAAAGACATATATACATGTAAGGGATTTAAAAAAAAGAATTAAAACTTCACTTCATTGCTGAATAATTTTACTAACCAGAAATCGCTTAGAAAGCGTCTTCGACGATATAGACCACCGGGAGGTCCCGGGGACTAACCAGCCCCTGGCCTAACGTCCTAGGATGGTAGCCCCCCCCCTCCCCCACCAAGAGTTGCTTATGCCACTTATGGTGGATCATGTGACATCATGCATGAATGAAGGAATGAACGAGTGCAGACGGAATCAAACAGGAAGCATTTTGAACCCGATGCTCCGCCATGTAGAGGCTGTGATAATTTTTTGATATAGAGAAATTCATATCACTTTGCCCGGTGCCAGTACAGTTTGTTCTGCTGTACTTGGCTTGTGTTCTTTTACCTGTCTGGAGAAATATATTATTGTCGTACTATGGACCAGGAACTGTTCGTCACCATGCAGCCATCAAAGGTCCGTCAATCGACAAAGACACAAGAAGGTCAAATTCCATGTCGACCATACATGAATTAGTGGAGTCTTAGGCTTTTTCGAAGAGTAGCGTCGACCCTCTAGAACTACAAGATGAGTACAGTCGGGACCTGGGCCCGAGTTCACAAAGCATTGTAAGATATAGCCGCTTATAAAACTGCTTTAATGTAGCAAATACATCAATAAGAAATTGTGTGCAAAGTGTTGTGTTTCTGGACCAAAGCCGCATTTCTCATAAACAGTGATTGAAACTGAGTAAATTCTTAACTGTTTAGTGAGCTCGGGGCCTGTTCATCGATGTTGACATTATAAGCTCGTTATTTTTCAATAGTTGACTGGCATTCTAAGGTTGACGTCGTGAAATCAATCGAAAGCAGTTGGAAGTTTAAACGATAGGACGCGTCGTTTTTCCAGTTGTCGACGTTTTGAAACGGACATTCATCCCTATAGGGCGTTCCACTATTGTGTTGATTCCAACCTTTAGTTTCTTCTATTTATCTTTTAATTCCCCCAACAAATATTTAACCTATTCCATTTTGCTGACGCAGATTATAACCCTACTACCATAGGCAATGCTACTTTATTGTTTGAACTTAGAGATTTAAAAAAAAAAACACACACACGCTGCAGGGTCCCAGTTACCTCAAGGACATGCCGTTTAATCACTAACAGGCAGACTTTATTATTGTAACTGTTTGCCTCTAATTAGAAATAACTGGTTTAATAACATTAATCAATTTTCTACAAGTAATACCCTTGAGGAACAGATGTAACATCCAATTCTGATTTTAAGATTCAGATGTCCATTACACTTCTTTTCACTTTTAAAGATAAATTAAAAGAGTTGACCATTCTTGATATAACAGTTCAAAAATAGATGATAAAAAAAAGAAAATTTTGAAAATTTCAGTCAAATTACTCTATTCTGAACGAAGTTATCACTGTTGGAAGTTTGCACTAGAAATAGCCATCAACTGTCTCCGCACCGTCGCCGAGAATTTCCGATCGTTTGATTGACAGATGATAACTCCGCCCACATATTCTGGATTATCACGTAACATTCACAATGCCTACGGTACCCTCGATTATCAGTCCTTTCATCGGCAGTTTCCGGGAGTGAGGTCAGTGTTTAATAGTATATGTTAGCTTGGTCAGCCATTTAATGATTTAATTATTAAATGGGCGAATGTTAAAATCCAAACTGTTTCCAAGCCATCCGAGGGTCTACAGAGTTGATTAATAATTAATAATTTCTATAACATTTAAAGCCTATAGAAAGACTTGTAATAGGCATATTTAGCAGTTAAACATGCATTATGCAAGAGCTAAATCAGCCTATTGCAGGTCTTCCTTTAGGTCTGAAATGTTATATAAACTATTAATTAGACATTTATTAACAAAACAAGACCACAATCAGCTCGCGATGGCATCGAATACTCGAGATTTTAACTAGATTAGGTTCGCCATTTAGTAATATACCAGTGCTCTGGTTACCACAATGCACACATCTTGTCAAATCTACATACAGTGATAATTTGGCCGAGAACGAAGTAATTTGAATGAAATTTTCAATATTTTCATTTTACATTATCTATTCTTGAGCTATTATAGCAAGAACGGTCAGCTCTTTATCTAAATCTTACATAATGTATCTTTAACTAATGTATCTTTAATAACATCTGAATTATTTTTAATAAGGCCGGTGTTCAGATCTCACTTGTGGTCAGTTTATTAGTATAGATGCCTGTGGCGTTTTGTGAATTAGGAAAATGAAATGGGGTTTAACGTACTGCTCCGAACTGGGCTAATGAAGACGGGCATACGCCATACAGTGTGCTATGAGGGAAATTTTCCCCGGACAGCGGCACTACGGTCTACTCTTATATCAAATCCAACTGTCAAGGGATCTTTTACGTGCACGCCAATGTGTACACGGGACCTCGGTTTTTCGTACCATCCGAACGACTAGGCAGCTGTCCTTGTCAGGGCCTCCGTCCTGCATAACTGACAAGGGGGAACCACGCCGGAAAATCTGGATGAACTTTCTCGGCCAATGCAGGGATCGAACACCCGACCTCCAGGCTAGCGAGCCAGCGTCTTACCCACTTAGCCACGTGATCCCCTTATGAATTAGGAGAATGGTTCTGGGAGGGTTGAACTCCATATAGACTGAGTTCTAGATATAATTTTTAAAACTTTTGATTTGTGTAGGGGCCTACAAGGATTTAAATTTCTAATGCATAATGCGGAATTGTTTAGTGGGGACATAGGAGGATCGCTGTCGACATTCGTTACTAGTCTACATATTTATGAATGTTGTGAGCTTTAGATTGAATTTATTTAAAACACGACCATATTGTCCACATGTTTCCTCCCACTGCTAAAGACCCCTACACGGAAGCAAATTATTGAAATACAATAGAACCATTTGAGGTACTACGAACGAGTTAGCATTCTCAGTTCAGACATCGCAAGTGATAAATGAAATTATCTTTTATTGTTCGGTCGATTACATACAAATACAAAGCATACCGACTGAAATCGTTAATATCGCAAATTGAGCTACATAAACCAAACTCTTGTACACTTATTTACCAATTCATGGTGACCGGTCTAAACCCAAATCAAACCAACCCTCATCCAATATTAATAACATTCTCATTAATGCTAGTACGGCCTGTGTTAAATTAGTAACCATAAAAGAATCGATGAATGAAAAAGAAAAGGTTTGGCCGTGATGACTGCACAAATTAAACTAAACGATAATCCAACTGACAATCTACTAAGAACGATTTACTATAGTAGGAAAAAACTGTACAAGAGAATTACCAAATACTGGAAGATCGTATTAAACTCATTAATCAAAGCAACTCCCGGGGATGATAAGAATGAGGTCATATCCATTGATAATTGAGAAAAACACTGTAAAACTCTATTTGCAGATAAAACCACGCCCAAAAATAATGTTAAGAAACAGACGATGCTTTCAATTTACTTCTTAAATCAAATAAAACTAACGAAGAACTAAACTCAAAGATAACTGCTATAATTTAAGCTAGAAATAAGTCTTGTGGACCTGATCTAATATTAAATTAGATGTTTCTTGCATCATGCGCAACAAGTTTCAAACTTGTTTCACTTCCTTGCATCATGCGAGTACATGTTTGATGTGTGTTTATAAAACATTTTTAATCTACTGATAGTTTTCCTGATCAATGGCGTGATTCGTTCATACTTCCAATACACAAGAAGGCGAGCATAGAGGACGTTAGTAACTACCGCGGAAGTGTGATAGCAAGCTGTTTGTGCCAATGCTTTTTATCTGTAATAAATAAAAGTATTTCTAAATATATCGAATCAAATAACCTGTTTGACTTTAATTAACAAATACAAGAAATCAAGAAACGTCTGTTTTTGTACTTTGTCGATTTCTCACAATCATTTGATTCAGTTTCGCGTAAAGATCCCCTTCTTAAATTACTGAAACATGTCATTAATGGACATTTGTTAATATTAATATCAATGATCTAAACCAGTACTTAGATAATTCTACAGACAATAATAGTTTTCCTATATTAAATACTACCGGTCTATCCCATTTGGCCACAGATCGCCAATGATTTTCCCCATTGACTTTAATGTTAATTCTCGTCTCTTAGACCGGCTATAACTTTTCCACAAAATTTTCGTTTTAACGCTTTCTACCACAGATGTGACCAAAAGCACGTACGAGGTTCATAATGAAAAACTCGAGATGCACAAGCGGGAATTAGACTAGAGACAAGTAAACATGCAATTTTCCGCCCTACACTTCAACCTATTATACTTCTTGTATCCTTCCGCCTCAAAATCATGAATATTCACCACAACCGGGAAGAATATGTGTAGCGGGTTATAATTTGCTACTTTTCAATTTGTCCGTTTGGTCTTGTTATTTAATAAATGGGATTTCGAGTTTTATTTTACATAGTAAAAAAAAAAGAAAAAAAAGGGTGTTATGAGTTGTGGTGTACATGTATATACGTTTCTATTGTAGTTATACTTTTGAAGTTTTGGTCTTAGTTTTGTGGGAACTAGGATTTGATTCTTATGTTTGGTGGAAATATTGAGGAGTCACTTTTGTTCTAGAAGGTTTTGATGTACATTTCACTTGGAGGTTGTTTATCAGGTGATATGATTTGTTGTATTCTGATTGGTTATTTGGGTGGCTCATTTTAATAAAAGATATGAATCGGTATCTTTTCTCACTCTTTATTTTTCTGGTTGGATGACTGGTTCATTGTTTCCGATTTAAACAGCTCATTTCCACAAATTGGTAAGAAACATTTATATTACAATTAACTTTAAAATACATTAATGTTTGGTTATGTGACTTGGTTGTGTGAAATCAAGGGTGTAGAATGAATGATTCTATATTATGCTTTTATGAAATAATTCCAAAGATGGAAGTCAATCATTGAGTTTACTTCGACATGATCGAAATTATGTAACATTGAATTATAGTTTAATATGGAATGTAATTTTGTTATTTCAGGGCATGTTGTTTTGCTCCTGATGCTTATGTTGTTCATGTGATGTCATTATTACTATGGTGTTTCATCATTAAGCTGTAACCGCGTACGCGGGATGTTCATTATAATTTATATAACAATGTGATGAATTTGTGATCTATATAAACTTTTAAAACCATCTTGAGTTATCATTTCTCCTCACCCTATCTTGAACACTTAAAGCAGCGAGTCTAAATTAAATTTCTTAGGCGCCGCATATAACTGCGATATATGTATATTCAAACCCTTTTCTTCAATTCTACACCAAAAGGTCAACAAAGATCGCCAAGAGGGAAGGGAAGAGAGAAAGGGGGGGATGCTAAAAATATCTTTGGCCCTTGTTTCGTAGAAAGAATTGATGAGTTCTGTTCATCTGCTCTTTGTTGGCGACCTTGTGCTGATGTCGGCTACCGAAATAGGATTACAAAACAATCTTGATAAATTAAACGTTTCTGTGATGACTGGAAACTGGACCTCAAAATATAGATAAAAGCACAGTTATGATCTTTAAAAACAATAAAAAAAAAATAACAAAAAAAAATTGTCTTTGGCCACGTCAATTTAGATATTGTCACGTCATATCTGTACCTAAGCATTTTCATTAATGATAACGGATCTTTTATATCGGCTATAGTGAACTTGGAAAGGCTAGAAGAGGCTGGTTTAGCTTAAGGCATAAAGTATGTAGGCTACATCTAACCGCCTTCTGTCTGATCAAACTCTGAATCTGTTGTGAACCAAATAGCTTTAAGTAAAATCTGTGAGATAGCAAAGGCTGCTTTGCTGAATTAAGAATTTTTCCTGTTTATATTGATATACATGTATTTCAAAGAATGGCTATGTACTATAAAAGACTAAATGGAAATAGCAATACCTTAAATATTTTTTTATTGAATTCTGCATACCAAACCCACAACTCTCCTGATTCGGCTATCCAAAATATCTTTGAAAAATATGACATTTAATTTCTTCAACAATTTCGAGACAGAATATTAGATGTTCAATAGAAAGTAAGTTTAACGATCTCCTTGCTGAACCTCGCGGACCGAACCATAAACTCAGAACCTTCGGATTATTTAAGAAATTTAATCACACTTCAAAATAAAAAAGTATACTTAAGATACCACCCCAGGATCGCCTCTGTAAACAAGCAATACAAACAAAACGGAATCCGAACAACATTTTCTTACCGAATGCCAAAAATATGAAGATATGAGAAAACAACATTATATATCCAATCCTTGACAATACTGGTCTAACCTTTTCTTCTGGAAATCTCTTCAACTTACCGAGTATTATAGCCACAAGGGTCTCAGCCTTTGTTTACTACTCAGTTTTGTGGAGGGACAACTGATATGTTAATAAATATGCATGATATTGAATTTTCATATATCATGTAACCTGTATGTGGGTTTTATATGGTGGCTGATTGGTATCATGTCGTGATGTCGTGTTGTCGCCCTTCGTAAGGCGACAACCCGACTTCACGACATTTTTAACCCGACACTACATTTTTACCCGACACCACATTAAAAATGTCGTAATGTCGCGTAAAAATGTCGTATTGTCTGGTTAAAATGTCGTGTTGTCGGGTTGTGGTGGTGTCGGGTTATCGGCCATATTCCTCTCAATACCATGATTATCTATATAAATCCTGGTGTAGGCCAAGAAAGTTCCCCGGGATCTTGCAGCGTGGTTTCTCCCTGTCGGTAGTGCAGGACAAAGGGTCTGGCAAAGTACAGTGTCTAGTTGTGTAGATGGGACAAAAAACAAGCTCCTGTGTACACATTTGCGAGCACAAAAAAGAATCCTTCACAGTTGAATTTGGATGAAGAAATACCACGGTCCATTGAAAATTTCCGTCATAGCACTCTGCATAGCGTATGCCTATCTTCAATAGCCCGATTGGTGCAGAAAAGTAGGAAAATTGAATGAAATGAAATTGCGTTTAACGTCCTACTGTTTTGCTTTGGGCTAATGAAAACAGTGTACTCACTGCGTCACCGTGACTACCAGAAAAGGAGGACATTAAACCTCATTTCCGGAGTGATTCCTCTTTGGCAGTGGTGAAGGACGGGGGGGGGGGGCTGGCAAGGGATATAGTCGTTTGGATGGAACGAAAAACCGAAGCCCCATTTACATATTGGCGTGCACGTAAAAGACCCCCTGACAGTTGGAATTCAATATAATAGTAGTCCGTAGCGCCGCTATCCGGTTAAAGTATCACCGTTACACCATATATAAGGGTTGAGTTCGAATTTCGTGAAAATCTGACTGAAACTGCCGGACAATATGGCCGCTCCTCAAACGCAAATAATGTAAAAGGTTAAGTTGGAATTTAAAAAAAATCCGACAGAATCTGCCGGACAAAATGGCCACTCCTTGTACGCAAATAGTGTAATAGTATGTAAAACCAAAGTTGTGGACCCTCTAGAAGTCGCGTCGCCGATTTTATCTGATCTTGATGAAACTTAAAATGTATATTCATATTCAAAAAATCTCGGTTACTTTTGATATTCATGCATATCGGACCGTAACTTGATTATGGCCCCTAATTATACCAAAAAAATCGCGTTTTTGTTTACCTTGTTCTCTGTCCACCTCTTGCAAAATGTGGTCGTATCTTGCCTGGAAACTGTTGGTTTGTACTTGTATTTATATTAATACTTTGTATATTGTAGGCTGTCCTCTATTCTATTCTATTCTATTCAAGGGGAACTGAGAATTACAGACTTTGCCTTTGGCATCTTTCCCGTGTCGCGAAGATGATCCAGCTTCTCCAGCCAATGTTCTACTCAACACTGCCCCAACATAGCGTTAATAAATATAATAATAACACGGGTATTGATCCTCGAACACAATGGCATGACAACCGGGGCCAACACGTGTTATCTCCCCTTTATTGAATTCTTCGTCAAAAGACAGTACAAGAAATATAATTGCCTTTTCCGTAAGGTTAAGAAAGAGAAACATAGCGTTGTCAGACAACGAATATTAGAGCGGGAGCGAAGGGGGTCAACCTAGCTAAAACGTGTACCAATTTTCACCTATATGGTATCGCATGTATATCTGGTATCATCAGAATGTAAGTCTGTCGAGTATCTGGTGGTGGGTGTGGCTGTGAGGGTTGTGATTCTGGGCGTGAATTCCTGGGCTAGATTAGCTCAAAAGTGTACCACATGAAATGGTACAGCAGTGTACCTTACATCTTCAGGTATTACGAAAACACTCTGACAGACATTTCTAGTGGTGGTGTACCCCTGACAGAGCTATGTAATTGCCAGACAGTTGTAGTTGTGGAGTATCCCCGACAAGAGTTATCTAATTTCCAGACCACAGCTAGGCTAGATTTGCTGAAATATGTACCACCTGAAACTGCTTTGAAGATGTTCAGCACCACCACAGAAATCATGAATGACTACTGCCAGGTAGTTTGTGCGGTGGATTACCCCTACCAGACACGTCCCAAAATGCCACGCCACCAACTAGACTAGCGAGCACTGTTCCCGTGGTCCAAAAAATTAAATATTGTGCCAGGAAGCGTAGAATACTATTACTTAGCAGGTATGGAAGACGCGATAAACTGCGGTTGCATAAAAAAAAGTTTTATGGGGCTAAAAATGCGTTTTTGAAAAATGTGACTGCAATATCGCACCAATAAAATGCGGGCTTATATAAACCCTTGTTTACCCATACATAAGCCACAGTATGATTCAGAAATGGCCTATAATCTGATAATAGTGATTGTCGTTGGGATGGTCAAAACCTTTGCTATGGGAAATTTTTACTTTTCACCAAAAACACATACAAATAAAATGACTTCTGATAAATGTCAGATACGCCCACATTTTGCAAGAGATGGACAGAGAACAAGATAAAAAAAAAGTATTTTTCGTACAATCAGGGGTCATAATCCAGTTAGTTATGGTCTGAAATGCGCGAATATTTAAATGGGATATTTTTGGGATATAAAGATATATTTTCAGTTTCATCAAAATCAGATAAAAATTGTGACTTCTAGAGAGTCAACAACCTTGGTATTAAATACATTTACTCTTTTTGCGTACAAGGAGCGGTCATTTTGTCGGGCAGTTTCGGTCCGATTTTCACGAAATTTAAGCTCAATCATCATTAGGGTGTAACGGTGATATACTATAACGTATTTTAAAATCGGATAAAAATTGTGACCTCTAGAGGATCCACATGCTAAAAACGTCATTTTTGGTACAATCAGGGTCATAATCCACGAAGTTTCAATCCGATACATGCCAATATCGAAAGGAACCGAGATCTTTTGGAGATAAACCTATATTTTAATATTTTAAGAATTGTGACCTGTAGACAGTGGCGACTAAATCTAGTCTGCTGTCTATTTGCCCCCCCCCCTCCCAATAGTTTTAGAAAATAAAACGAAGTATTTGTGATACGTTTCGGTAATCAATACCTTCTACGGTGATTAAATCCCACATCCCCACTCAGTCATAGACTTGCATGTTGTAAAGTCTGAGTGATGTCTTACCGAGCCCACCTTGCTGTAAACCTAGTATAAAGAATAACACGTGAACCAATTGAGAAATTCGTTTTACGATCCTCGAAGTTTTCGGGTATCGGTTCAACCCGGCGAGAATATGCATTCACTTGATACACTCACTCCGTTCGTTTGACACCTCCCTCTCTGTTTGGATAAGCTGGTGATTTGGCGACGAACAGTGTCTGGTCAGCTCTATTTATCTCGACGACAACCATTGTCTGAAATACTGTGAGGCTGCATTTCTGGCAGTCTATTTCTTTCTCAAAATGTCGTGGCGAAAATATTCATTCACTTTGATTCACTCACTCCGTTCGTTTGACACTTTCCTCTCTGGTCGGATAAACTAGTGATTTGACGACAGGCGGTATCTGGTAAGCTCTATTTATCTCGACGCAGGGGCGTAAATGTGGGGGAGGTGTGAGGGGGGGGGGGTACACCCCCCAGGAAAAAAATAGTCGGTCGCAAAATCAGTGCAGTCGGTCGCAACATCAGTGCAGTCGGTCGCAAAATAAGAGCAGTCGGTATCAAAATAAGTGCTGACTGCACACGTCACGCTACTCACGCAAAACTTTAATATAAAATAACCTTGTCAACTTAATGTGTTTCACTCTTATTATTCTGTTGTGAGTATGTAGGTCTAAGAACAAAATTTCCCCCAGGGAGAAAAATAGTCGGTCTCAAAATAAGTGCAGTCACTGCAGTCGGTCTCAAAATTATGCATCGCCGTCTTAATGAATTAATGAGGTAAACAAATAATGCCAGAATAGATCCCAAATACTAGTCGGTCGCAAAATCAGTGCAGTCGGTCGTAAGATATCAGCAGTCGGTATCAAAAAAGGTGCTCACTGCACACGTCACTCTACTCACACAAAACTTTAGTATAAAATAATCTTGTCGACTTATCATGTTTGAAAAAAATGTTTTTTACCCCATGGCAAAAAAAAAGTCGGTCCCAAAAAAAAGTGCTCACCGCACTCAAAAATTAAAAGCTCAGTTACATATCGGCGCTCAATTCCATTATGCCATCATTCTTCAACTCCTTCTCTGACTTTTACAATCTCATCACTATCATATTCACAGTTACAGTGAATCGCCCAGTAAGTAGTACCACTAGTGAGTGAGTCGTGGGTCAAAAGACTGTAGAATTGTTAGTTCTACTCTCACAAAACAGGCGACATTGACAGATAGGCCTCAAGATTCTGTCCCATTTCTTATCCTCTCGTTAACGAGAATTTGGATCCATTTGCCATGACATTGACTAATTTTGTCAGGCCCATCCCCAAAAATTAAAAGCTCGGTTACACATCTCAAATTTTTTCGCGCCTGCGGCGCTCGATTCCATTATAACATCATTTTCCCACTCTTCTGTTGTCTTATACTGTCTCAGCACTATCATATTCACGGTTATACTGAACTGCCTAGTTATGTTAGTAGTGTGTGGGTCGTGGGGCGTCAGAATATACAAAAGTTCTGTCAACTCTTGCAAAACAGGCGGAATTGACAGGGGGCAGATCTTGTCTAATTGACTCACATTTCTGGCCCCCTCGTCCACAATAATTTCTCCCAGCAATGACCTCAAATGCCAAGATATTGACTCAATTTTTCAAAATTTTCTCAGGTTGCTCAGTGTTATAGGCACAATCATCATATGACATAAACATTATGTTAACTTAAATAAAACTGCTTTCCAGCCAGACAACGATCGGCAAACAACTATATAATTATACAATACCATCTATGTTCTACCGGGACGCTTAATGTTATAGCCAGTATTTTGTTGACATTCATTGTGGGGTGGGATTGTGGCTGAGGCGCCCTAGATTTGGACCCCCCCCCCTATCTAGGTCCGCTACTTCACATGGCCCCTACAAAACTCGCACCTGTGGTGCTCGGTTCCTGACTGCGTCACTCGCACTAGGGGTATGGGCATCAGTTGGTCGCATTTTCGCTAACCCCCCCCCCCCCCAACAAAATCGTTATGTACGCCCCTGTCTCGACGATAAGTGCCTGAAAGACTGTCAGACTGCATTTCCGGCAGACTACTTTTTAAATTTTTGGGGGCTTCGTTAAGGTTCGCAAGTCCGTTCATTTGACACTTTCTAGGGTCGGATAAACTAGTGATCAGGCGACAGACGGTATCTGATCAGCTCTATTTATCTCGACAATCGGTGCCTGAATACTGTCAGACAGCATTTCCGGCAGTCTATTTTTCAAAGTTTTCTTCGGGAGATCCCCAATAAGGACTCGCTACTTTGGCGCTCATGAGGGGACTTCGTTGAGGTTTGCAAGTCCATTCGTTCAACACTCTGTTCTCTGGCCGGATAAACTAGTAATCAGGCGATGGGCGGTATTTGGTCAGCTCTATTTATCTGGAAGATCGGTGCCCGAATGAATACTGTCAGACAGCATATCCGGTAGTCTATTTTTCAAAAATTTCTGGGGGAGGCCCCCTAGCCCTAGTCGAAGCTCGTGTCATTGCCCCCTTAATTTTGGACTTTGCCCCAGCTTTACCCCTCCAACCACCGGCGGCTGGCGCCGCCACTGCCTGTAGAGTGTCCACAAACAAATTGCGGACAGACGGACGTCCGGACGGACAGGGACGACGACAATATACGTCCACATGAAAATGTGGGCGTATAAAAACAAATAATTAAAGTGAAACTACAACTGTTCCAAACATTTAACTATAGTTAGCGCTGACTTCAACCTCAACCCGTGTGTAATACAGAGATAAATCAGGTTAAAAACTAAAATATGACACCAGGTGAATTAGGGCCCTTGGCAGGAAAAACAAATGTGCTGGGGCGGGACCCTTTTTTTGCTACCCCTCCCCCGCCCTCCTTTCCAACACTAGATCCACTCGACACAAACCAGGTTATTTTGGGACTAGTAGGGGTCTTTAGCAGTTTGAGGAAACCGGAAGACCTGGAGAAAACCCACGAGGTTCGACAGGTGACCCTACTCCCTGTCTCATACAACCACGGAATCGAAACCACGCCAGCTGATTCAATGACCGACCTTATGATACAACGCGCACGCGCTAACCATTCGGGCCTCCACCCCACCCCCAACAAAGTAACGACTCTTATTTAAAGTAAAAGGTTTTATTAACGACCATAGTGAACGTTTAGTACGTTAATCGCTAATGCGACATCAAATGTTTAAAAGCAACTCCTATGATTTTTTTGATTATATCCCAGATATCAATGCTAAAGAGACGATTCTACGACGAATGTTACGTTTTAAGTTAAGCTGAAATGTCTCCACATGGGTTCTATCTGAGAACCTAAACTTTAAAAGTTTGCAGATAACAATTTCGCAAAATAAACCAACTTATCAAGTTTAAATTTACTCATACCACAGAAGTTGTATTATTGTATTATTTTTTTAAAAGGAGGGAAGGGGTATATAATTATAAATCAGACATTTACAAAATTATTATATTGAAGGAGGTGTGTTTATTAATGACATATTTGCTCAACAATGATGTCAAGTTCTAATGACTGACAGGAAGTGGAATATCCTAATCGGATGCCATCAATTATATACCCAAGGTTCATTCAAACTGAGAAAACATTTACATAGAAGTACCCTGTATTAATAAGATTTTGTTTGCTGAATATTTTTAATATTTTACTTAAATAATGAGCACGACGACATTAAATCGAACGCAGCACATAAAATGAATCTATACAATTTGGTGGGATTGTTTACTGGGACATTCAAGAACTTGATCAAATTTGAAGTTTGTGTATCCCTTTTAAGGCAATGCTCTAATTGCATTTTTAAAGATATTGGATGGATCATTGGAAGACCCAATGATCAACGGTTCAGAAAATATAACATATTTTGAGGGACATTATTTTGTCTAGGTATGGGAATTGAATGACTTCAATCTGATTAATTTTCGTTCTTGGGGTTCTTGTTTTCGTCTGGAACTAGTTGATTGTAAAGGGCTTTACCCTAAACCTTAAACCCTGCAACCATTCAGGACATTCTCAAACGTTGTGTTGATAACTAATATTAAATTTATGATAATTCGTACAGGGTAAATTTTAGATATAGTTCCCACAAACCTCATATATGGCTTAAATTATTGTCTGATCTGGATAATACCCTCAGAATATAAAAAAGAAATCCAATTGCATTTAAAAGGCATTCTCAATTATTTTTTGCTTTGACTGCAGTTAAATCGTGTTAGGTTGCGTTCAAATTGTGAGACCAACCTGTCAATCCATTACGCTTTCATTTACGATTCATGTGCATTTTGCATTCGTTTTTAAGGGGTCCAGCGAACTGGTGAAATGAAATGGGGTTTAATGTTCTACTCTGACGGACGGACATACGCCATGCAGTGCATACGCCAGGCAGTGCTATGAGGGAAATTTTGCCCAGACAGCGGCGCTGCGGTCTACTCTTATATCGAATTCCAATTGTCAAGGGTTCTTTTACGTGCACGCCAATGTCCCATCCGAACGAATATACGTTGCCCCTTGCCAAGCCCTATGCCCTGCATCACTGACAAGTTGGGGGGATACTGGAACATCGCTATGAACTTTCTTCGCCAACATAATCGCACACGGGACCTACAGGTTAACGAGCCAACTTTTACTCACAACGCCACCACGCGGTGACCCCCCCCCCCCCCCCCAGCGAACTGGATATAATAACATTGCCCCTTTAATGATTTTCCAAACATCATCAAGTATGTTTATAACAGATTTAGATGTTGGCAAAGAAATCATTTCTGTTAATCTGATACATTCCAGAATTTACAAACTTGAAATAGAGATAAAAGTTATCAATGTCATTAATTCCTGTAATTGACGTTAATGGCTTTTGTATAAAACCTGGCCGTATTATGTTACGTCTTGAAAATTGTACAAGTAGATTCAACGTCTTGTGAAGAACTATTGTAGTTTGTCTCAATTTGAAATAGAGGAAATCACAATAGATAAGTAGTTATCATTTAGCATCCTGTTAATCTGGTAGTGCAACAAAGCTTCCCACTGCGCATTAACTCAAACCTAAGAAATGGGCTTAAATAGGAGTTAGGGGCATTTATGATCTGAGGTCTTTTGTATTGATTTTAGAAAATAGCCGCTGTCCGGACAGAATTTCCCTCAAGGCACACTGCATGACGTATAAATTCCCGTTTTTATTCGCCCGGGTGGAGCAGAAAAGTAGGACGTTAAACCCCATTTAGTTTATTCGGCGATATACTGGGCTTTAATGTCCACTTCCACACCAGTCAGAGTAATAGCCTCGAACAAAGTCCACCTACACTATTTTACATGATATATCGACGACTGATGAAAACAGAAATAGATGTGATGGAGTTTAGAATTTGGATTTCGTGCCAAACGATGATCCGTGTTTCTGCGCCTGCCATTCAAACTTTGTAAACGTGCTTTGGTGAGTGTGAGAAAAACTGACGTAATATGTGAACTGTGTGGGCTGTAATTTACAGTAAGTAGTGTGAATTGTTATGGATGAGAGTGGAAACGACAATATAAGTTATTAAGTTACGCAGTTAGTCAAATAAAAATGCCAGGAGGACACATGAAACGGTTTGGGAACTGAGACCAGAGTTAATATAATAACAAAGAATTTGGTTGTTAGTCGGGTAAGTATATAATTTATAGTTTAGCATACTTGCAAGCCATTATTTATTTAAATTTGCTAAAATGATGAATTACTACTGATATTTATTCAAATATATAATAGGCATTAAATGGATTACTTTGATATTTTTGAAATATACAGTGCGTCACCGCATATATATATTCGCGCTTTTTGTGTTGAGATTGGGTGTCGATCAATGTATAGGGGTTATTAAGACATAAAAAAAAATTCTCTCCACTGAATCAACGCTAAATATACCCAAATTGATTTAACTAAGAAAACAAAATGAAAATACCAACCCCAGATAAACCTCACGACATGGATTCAATCGGATTGAAAAGGGTCACCTCGGAAGTTTTAGCGAGGTTATACGTGACACTGGTTTGGTTTGGACATGCTTGTTTATTTGTCTGCAGAGTATACCGAATGTTGACAAATTTTTAATTAATCACATATGTGTAAATACTGACCGAGAATGAACAATTTTTGGATTGATATTCCTTTCAGAGATTCAACATTCACAATATTATAGCTTGCAATGTTATTCACGGGGCATTAATTAATTAAATGTTTATTTTAACGGTTTTTGTCAATAGAAAACATTTTCTATCATTTGAACCTCAATAAACCAATCCAAACAGTTCGCTTTATAAGTGTTATATTTGATGTAGGGGATTTTTACTTTATGTGCTTAAGTTTAAAATTTTCAAAATATAGTCGTTTTCAACAAAACATATATTATAGCGATTGCTAGAAACATATTTTCGAAATTTGAAAAGAAAACCATTCGTATTTAACCGTGTAGTGTTCGGTACAGAAATATAATTTTCAATCATTTTGAATAAATCTAAGTATCTCATCACCACAAGAAAGATTTCTGGCTTAAAGCTCATCGGAGTGTGCTTCAGGTGTGCTTCATTTCACCTAACAGTCGATAAATTTACTTGATATACTTAAACAATTTATCTTTGTAATAAATAGATTCTCTATATATACCACGTTCGTTTCCAGCTTGTTTACATTAAATCACACATTCCTAGCAGATAATAAGTTGATTGTAAGAGTGCCCCGTTCATTCCTTTTATAATATTATTATTACTATAATATGTTCTGCTATAGCCGGGTTAATTAGACAATTGATTTAACTGTACTTTATATTATTATATTAGTTTTATATCATTTGGTAAAAACTAAATATGGAGAATTTCAATAAATATAAATAACAGGCGCGAAATCGAGGGCATTTATTGTACGAGGGACAAATTAGAAAGGGCCGATCAGGGTGATGTGAATTATATTTTAGGGGGCTATGCTCCGCTATAGACCACAAAAATCCTGAAAGGGCCATATATATATCCCTTTTTCGGCAGATTTAAAAAAAAATTATACTTGCCCATATCAATATGTTCGGCATTTGTCGTCACCCTGTCCTTCGGTCCGTCTAGAGGTCCGAGTATTTTTAGATTTTTTTTTCAAACTTGCGGATCAATTAGTTGCAGAGTTATTACCCTTATCATCAAGTTTTTGAGATTGTTTGACTAGCATGAATCATATCAAAATGGATCCTATGCAAATTCAATGTGGAATATTAATTATTTTTGCGGTGCATGCTAGTGTTATTGAAATTTGTTATTTAGGTCATTGTTTTTATATTAATTTTTCCAATTTATTGGATTATTTTTCAAAACACTAAAAACAGCTAGGTTGATTTTTCTGCTGGTGTGAGAGAGGGGGGGGGGTAACGTCCACTCGACACAAACTAGGTCATTTGAGTAGGGGGAAAACCCACGAGGTTGGACAGGTGACCCTACTCCTTCTCACGTACAGCCGAGGAATCGAAACCACGCCAGTTGACTCAATGACAGACCTTATGATACAGCGATAGGATTTTCCACAATGCTTCATTTTGTTTTCTTGAGGTTGGGTGGCCTAATGGTCTAACGAAATGAAATGAAATTGGGTTTAACTTCCTACTGTTCTGCCCCAACTGGGATAATGAAGACGTAATGGTCTAACGCAGTGGTTCTCAACCTTTTTTTGCCAACGACACACCTTGGAGCACATGTAAAAATAGCGGCACACCTGGCTAAATATAATTACATGAAAAATATTTTGAATTCGAAAAATAAAAAACATGGCAAGTCATAGACGGCATACAACCGTAGACACAGACTAGTCATAGAGACATACTATGGCTCAAACTAAATAAAGTAGACACATAGAATGACTCAAGCTACATAAAGTAAAACAGAGCTATGAACTTACCAGTAGACACCAGTGAATCCTCTATTGGGATCACGTGGTTTTTCACATTTTCTTAGTGGGTCGTTCAAAATGTCGCGGCACACTTAAAAATATCTCGCGGCACACTGGTTGAGAATCACCGGTCATCGATTCAATATGTCGTCACCTGCCTAACCCTGTTGGTTTTATCTGGGTTGTCTGACTTCCCCCACGAATAATTAAAATAAAGAAAATAATATTTATGTTAATCCCTATAATTTCCAAGTGTGTGTGGAATCGACGTTATTTCTTTACAATTAGTATTAGGGATACTTTATTCGTGTTTTGATTACCGGTACCTTTCATTTTGCAAGTCTTGGATTCCTTTTCTACTATTTTTTTATATAATGCCTATGAAAATCTATATTGAGTATGCTATACCATTTCGAATAGACTGCAAAAGTCTATTGGGGTCTGTATTTAATGTACTTTCGACTCGATACTACATATATAGGTGGAGTTTACTACTTAAATATTTGACATCTTGTTTTTGCTATTTCAGACAATATGCTTCTTCAAGCGTATCTCTTATTTGGAGCTTTATTGCTTGTAGAAACCAAAGATAGACGCCGAAAACCTCCAACCCGAACCCTTGGTACGTCACCCGAACCTCATATTGATGAAAGGAACGAAACTGAAATTTTCTTTGCTAAAGTCATTTATAACCATTCCAGATATTGTTCTTCGGACAGTGTCTGCGAAAATGCAGTTTTTGCATCTGATAGTTGTCCAAAGTGCAATAAATGCCAATGTGATGAGGCGTGTTCCTATTACGGCGACTGCTGTCCCGACATCGCTTTACGTCAACCCAAAAAAGTAACCAAGAGATTTGATTGTGTGAGTTCATTAGTTCAAAGTGTGTATCCTGTTGAAATCTTTGAATTGCGGGTGAACGAAAACGAAAAATATTATATGACAGCTACATGCCCTAGCAACGACCTTGGCCTGAGAGTGAAGTGCTTTAATTCAACGGCGTCAGAACCGGTGACAACCATGGACAACACCACTACATACAAAAACAAATATTGTGCTTTATGCCATAACGTGACCAACACAAGAAAATGGAAGATGTCAATAGAATGTCACTTAGACACGTACTCAAATGAGGCGTATTCGACCTTGATGGAGCTTGTCAATAATTCAATTCACCACCCGAACTGTACTGTCAAATTTAAAGCTCCGCATGGCGTTACAACAAGAACGTGTTTTAATGGCAAAGGAACAATAGCAAAGTGTAACGCCACTGGTTTATGGTCACAGTATGATGAATTTGTGGAAAAGGCGTGTCATAGTTACAGAACAATACAAGAAGTCGATGGTATTTTCTATAACAACCCTTTTTGTTTCATCTGCAACACAGAAAATCCCGAACGAGTTCTAAAGATAAAATGCAAAAGACATCGTCCCTTGAACACGCCATCATTTACAGCGCTACTTGACTTTAGTGATGTTATTTATGGAAGTGATGAGGTCACAAAGTCTCAGTGTCCTAAAGCAACTGTTTATGACCAAGAAAAGGTAAATATTGAAGTGTGTTTTCTGCTTTTTGTTTAATTGAAGTTGCACCAATATACCCCATCCAACCTTAACCGCTTTGTACAAGTTAGAACGTCCTCATACTACGAGGATTATCTAGCAAGTAGGCGACTACCAACTTCTAAATTACCATAATACTAACCTGATTAAAATCTGCATTTCAGAAATTATGCGGTCGTCGCCATATTTCCAATAGGTATAATATGTCATCATCAAATATTTATTTAGATAATCCTCCAGTCTGATTAAAACACAGATCATATTTCGTTTCGTTTTTTATAGTTCAAAATTTCGTTTTACTTGTCTTCACTACACTAGGATCTGGAAGAGTTGTTATATTACCGGCGTTTTGGTTGAAGTGAGGGATAAGCCAATGAAACGATCTGTTACGGCCGGAACTGTGGGTAAACCACTAGAAACATCCACTCTGATTGATTAATCAATGGCTGGCGTCATAAAGTCAAAAGCCGCTCGTGCGACCCCTGAAACGACCTTATAGTACCACTTGTCAGATCTTCATGTAGTGTAGACCATCGAAAGTATAAAAAAAAACGAAACGAAATATAGATCTGTATTTTTATCAAATTGATAATCCTCGTACTTTTAGTTTTTATACGACTTGTTTTGTTTGAATCTAATAGTAGTGGTAGGGTTCTTGCACGCGGCAGGTTGTGTTGCCAATATGGAAAGCCCACCTATTATTGCACATAGGATTTTGTTAGCAATGGCCAACATCGAATTTTGTCTGCCGACATATGTTAATAGACAACTTACTGTCAGTAATTGCACAAAGATCACACGTGAAGCTGTCACACGTACAGCAAAATGATGGTTAATTTTCACAGCATCTGTGGTTTCTAGATATTTAAGTCACTTATCTAGATGCTACCATAAAGGTCGTCAATTGGTTTGTACTGGTAACCTACTATTTGAGGTATAATTTTGAATAAGGTTGATATAGGGAAACGGGGTCAGACGACATGTATTTTTTATACTTATTATGGGCTTGAAATAACAGTTTGGTGACCTTTAGAATAGTGTGTTCTTTTCCTTAATGTTGGGGCCATGCTAGGTCTTCCGATCAGGAATTATGGTCTTTACAATTTACGACTATACATGTTATCCCAGGATCTATTACGGTATGTGTCGACGACTGACAGGCCCGTAGCTAGCCCGGGGGGGGGGGGGGCGTAATACCATTGGACGTAATAGGAACCCAACGACCATGTGCCCCATTAAGCCGAGTGACATTGGTTGGGGGTCCGTGGCGAGATTGGCGGGGCGCCCAACCAATGTCACTTGGTTTTATGGGCGCCTCGCCAATCATGTCGTTATATATGAGCCCCCCCCCCTCCAAATGGTGAGGCGCCTCATAATGGATCACACGATTAACACCACAACTTGATTGATGGAACGTTCAAAACAGTGTGATCTGTGAGCTGTCTTATCTCTGGCGCCCATAATGACATTATGGGTGGGGCGCCTTAAATTTGACAATATATGATTGTCGGGCCGCACATAATGCATAATGCCGAGTGAGATTGATGGGGCGCCCACGACTTGATCAATGAGGCGCCTTAAAACGGCTTTATCCCGGAGGGGCGCCCATAATTGGTGGGCCACCCACGACGAAATCTACCATAAGAAAGTCATCTGGAGATTGTAGGACATTTTCCAAGTCAAATTCACGACGGGGATGAGATTAATTCAAGCCCGCGCCAGGCTTGATAATCTTCAAAATTCAAACAAGTCGCACCCTAATCCGATTCCGAACTTTTCGTTTTTCTCATAAATTATTATAGATACGCTAAAGTCGTATTCCTTCCTTCAAATTTTTATAATGTTCATATCAAAATATCATAATACGGCAATATCGCAAAATTCAGACTCACAATTGAAATTTTCCCACAATTTAATACTTCCTCTCCTCAGGTGCAAATCCTATTTTCCAATCTGGTGATTAATTTTTTTTTTTTGGGGGGGGGGGGGCGGGGGGGAGAGTACCGTCAATTGTAGGTACATCGGTGCACCCAGACAACATACCCCCCCCCACCCAACATTTTTGGGCTACCTGTGGGCCTGGCCAAGAGGAGTCATTGTCACGTGTGGCGATTACAGTTTAATTTATACATGTGCGAGACAAGGGCAAGTATACACAAGGTTGGCAGTGCTTAAGAGATCTTCTGACAGTTGGAAATTGGATAAGAACTGACGGCCTGGGCAAATTATATTTCAATGCAGAAGTATAAGAAACAAAATATCCGTACGGTATATACTTAGCAAATCAATTTGCTTTCAGTACTAACAGTAAATTGTGTATAGTCGACCCCATGCAAGCTTCCTGTCCATTTTTTGCCATTTTCTATAAAATTGTATTGACATTCGGCTACTACATCTGATTCCGTAAACTAATTTACAGTTTCAACTTCGCGCCGAGTTAATACCAGAATGTTTAATCGGGGACGTCTATTGTCTAAATATTGTCTGGCAATATAAAACTATTTATTTCTAAAAATATATTTTTCAGAAGGAGTGTAGAAAAATAAGCTGTTCCCCGGGGCGTGAACTCAGAAACCAAACCTGTAAATCCATATTAGGAGAATCAAGCGGCAATGCTTACTCAGTATATTTCAGTCTGACCTTAGACAATGAAATTTCACTAAAAGAAAATGATGGCGTCCTCAGCGATCTACCAGTCGTCTTGGAACAATATATCCGTGCAGTCTTATTGGGCAATCAAGTTAATATTCACGAGAGGGTTGTAGCGTTTAATACAACTGGTGCCTATGGAAATTGTTCCCATTATACATCCCAAATGTTCTTTTCGGCTAACTTGGTTACCAGCGAGGCTGTTTTTCAGAATGACTTTGAACAAAAGTTGTTGTCTCTAAGAAATACGACATTTGTAATCCAGACGGAGTCCCAAAACTTTACTTTTACTACCTCCGCCAGTGAAGAAGCTCGTCAGTTGCAAACGTTCAATAAACAGTCGAAGTCTACATCATGTATGACGGTATCTGCGGTGTCATATAATGAAAAAAATATCGAAAGTTTGGAATATACGGCTGTAAATGGGTTGTTGATGTGTCCACAAATAATTTTGAAACAAGATGAATATCACATGGAGAAATATGGTCTCTATGTAAAATGGGCAAATGAAATAGTTTCGTCGGATCAATACGAACAAGAAGAAGATGGTAGTGTTAAAATTTGTTTGGATAACTTTAAAGCCGTTGACCAAGAAATCCTAGATGGAAGCTTGGGAAGGGAGGCATCCACAGCTGAAGCCTGGGTTTCTAGAATTTGTACGATATTGTCTCTGGTATGTCTCCTAGTTGCCTTCATTGTCTACTGCGTCTTTAAATCATTGAGGAGCATGCCCGGTCGAAACAACATGAATCTCATAGTCTCTCTCTTCCTAGCTCAGCTGTTATATTTGGTGGGAGCAGGACGTACAGAAATCAAAGGTGTTTGTGAAGCAATGGCTATGTTTATCCATTATTTCTGGTTGGCAGCTTTTTGCGCAATGAACGTTTGCTCTTTTCATATGTTCAGAGTTTTTACCACCATGAGTCGTGACGATTCTGCCGACCGACGGCGTCGTTTTCTTCAATACAGTATTTACATTTACGGGTTACCTGCGGTTTTAGTAGCAGCAACTCTGGTGGTGCACATTGTTGCAACAGACAGCGGCACTACCGGTTATGGCGGAGCAAATGTGTGTTACTTGTCGTCTGCTCTGGCTATTCTAATTGCATTTGGACTTCCAGTTGCTATAACTGTCGTTTCAAATTCTATTTTTTTTATTATAACTCTTCGTGCAATTAAAAATCGCCCCAAAATTGAGAAAAACAAGCAAGACGAACACCACTCGGCTGTCTACATAAAGTTATCCACATTAACTGGAATGACTTGGACGATTGGGTTTATAGCAATAATAACGAGGATAGCGGCCCTGTCCTACATATTCATCTTAATTAATGCCAGCCAAGGAGTGTTTTTGTTTATCTCCTTTGTGTGCAATGATCGTGTTAAAAAACTTATCATGGAAGGAGGTAAAAGTAGTTCCAGTGCGGGCTACACCCGGAGCACCACAAAAACCAACACCACGGTCTCAGCTGTTGCCGGCAATATGCAAGTTCGACCAGGAAAAGAATGCAAAATATAATTCAAAAATAGGTCCGGTTTTCAGCATGACTTAGCATAAAATAGTCGTATTCTGTAATTGAATATTTATTATTTAAACAAAAGCGACAGTACTTACCAAACTACCGCAAAATATTGTTTTTAATTTCTGTCATTTGTTGTTGTATTAATTTCTGTCATCTGTTGTTGTATTGAGCATTGTGGAATATTATGTTCTTGTGTTCTTTGTCATTTCCGGCAAAAATTGAAAATAGCCTTTTCATTGTCATTTATCATTCGATGCGTCACAATATTGATGTCACAATATTTGTAGTAGGAAATAAAATCATTCAGTGAAACACAGATATTTCGTTATTTTATGGTACTTTCCCACTAATTGTCGTCTCTGTGAATGTATACTTAACTGTTATATGTTTTCCCGTACTTGGGGGGGGGGGGGGGCGGGGGCGAATGGTTAGCACGTGCGCGCTGTATCATAAGTTCTGTCATTAAGTCAACTGGCGTGGTTTCGAATCTCCGGTTATACGTCTCATGGAACTGGGTCGCATGTCCGACCGTGTGGGTTTTCTCAGAGTCCTCCGGTTTCCTCCCACTGCTAACGACCCCTACGCGCAAGCGAACTATTGAAATAAAATTGAACATGTGTTAGTCCCGAAATGACCTAGTTTGTTTCGAGTGGGCCCCCTTCCCCCTCTTTGACACGCGCTTGTTTTTGGTGACATCACCAATTTTGATGAACTTTTATCTGCTATCAAACGGGAACTTGAAGCTAGGGAAAGGTGTTTTTACATGAAATCTAAAGAATCAAGTGCTACTAGTACTAGGCCAAATCGGTCAGAAGACTTTCAGAGATTCAGACCTAAACCAACAACCACATCTACATTACTGACTGGTAATAAGCCTGATTATAATAATGCTAAAACTCCATATTGTAGCTTTTGTGCTAATCCGCATGCATCTATAAACTGTAAAACTGTTATTGATCCATCAACCCGGAAATAAATTTTAAGAAAGAAGGGGAAATGTTTCCGTTGTTTACGATCAGGACATCTAATCAGAAACTGCCCAGCTAAATTCAAATGTTTCATTTGTGTAGGTGATCATAATGCTGCTATCTGTGATAGTAGTTGTAAATCTAATTCAAGGGATGAGACAACTGTAGGGTTTACTGATCCTAAATCATCAAGTACTAATACTATGTGTATTAACAGTGACACTGCTGTGTTATTGCAAACTGCTGTGACAAATGTAGGTTGCCCGGCAAGTCAGACAAAAGTTAAAGCCAGATTAGTTTTTGACAGCTGCAGTCAAAGGACTTACGCGGTTAACAGAGTCTGTAACAAACTTCAAGCGCCATCAATCAGGGAGGACAATTTACTTATAAAAACTTTTGGAGACGATTCTCCAAGACTGAAACCCTGTGAACTTGTTCAGTTGTCAGTGACAACACGTGACGGAATGGAAATCTATATCAACGCCTATAAGGTGCCGACTATACCAAGCCATTAAAATCGCTCTACAGAAATACCCTCATCTGTCTGATCTGGAACTTGCAGATAACCCACAACAATCTGACGTCAATGATTTGGAAGTTGACATTCTAATTGGGGCTGATTATTATTGGTCATTTTTCAATGGTGTTACCCGACGGGGGGAGGGTACAGGGCCAGTAGCTTTGTATTCAAATCTAGGGTGGGTTTTATCCGGGCCTGTCGTCGAAGCCTGTAGAAATCAACAAGAGTGTACTGTCAATATCAGTTCTACGCATGTTCTCAAACTCGATACATCAATTCTAGTTGACGACGATGTATGTGATGTCAAACAGCAGTTATATAAGTTTTGGGATCTTGAAACAATTGAGATCAAGGAAAACGAAACTTCTGTATATGATAAATTTATCGAAGACATTGAATTTAATCAAGAAAGGTACGAAGTAAAATTGCCTTTTAAAGAGGACCACGCTCATTTACCGGACAATTATGATATCTGTCAAACTAGGCTTCAAAGACTTTTAAAAAGGTTACAGTCGCAACCGGAAGTTCTAAGCGAATACAACAGAATTATTTCAGATCAACTCAAAGAAGGAATCATTGAAGCTGTTCCAAGCGAAGGGTTATCTACACCATCAGTGAGAGACTGTCATTATCTTCCGCATCGCGAAGTAGTGCGAACTGACAAGGACACTACAAAGGTTCGCGTTGTGTATGACGCATCAGCCAGGTCGAAAAAATTTAGCCCTAGTCTTAACGACTGTTTATACGCAGGTCCATCACTCATACCCTTGATATTTGACATTCTGCTTAGGTTTCGGTTGAATAAGATAGCAGTTACCGCAGATATCGAAAAAGCATTTTTAAATATTTGAATTGTACCAGAACATCGTGATTATTTACGATTTCTTTGGGTATCTAATCCTACCAATCAAAATTCACCAATTCAAGTTTATCGATTTGCAAGAGTTGTATTCGGCGTAACATCAAGTCCGTTTTTGTTAAACGCAACCTTACGTCATCATTTGAGTTTTTATGAAAGTGAAAATCCAGATTTTATACGCGATGTATCAGAATCACTTTACGTTGACGATTTTGCTTCGGGATCAGACTCTGTGGATTTATCTTTCGAAATGTGTAAGCAAGTACATAGTATCTTTCAAGACGGTGGATTTAATATGAGGAAATGGGTATCAAATTCTACAGAACTTTTGAATCGAATTCAAAGTGACTCTAATTTTCAGAATTCTAACACTCAAATAGACAATCAAACTTCAGTGAAGGAAGAAGATGAAGGTTATTCGAAATATAGTTTTTCGCAACAATCTACAGGAAATCCTAAAATTCTTGGACTTATCTAGGACAATCAATCAGACAATCTAATTTTTGATTTTTCGAAAATATGTAGTGCTATTCAATCTGATTCAGTAACCAAACGGTTGGTATTGAGTGTTGCTTCTAGGTTTTATGATCCTTTGGGTTTGAATTCGCCGATTGTTTTGAGTTTCAAATTGTTGTTTCAGAAACTATGTACTTTCAGTTTAGACTGGGATAACGAGTTGAGTGAAAACTTTGTATCATACTGGAAGAATTTGTTACTAAAATTAGAAAAGACACATATTATTCAAATACCAAGGTGCTATTGTATCAAACTTTATTGTGATCAATCTGAAATCGAACTCCATGTGTTTGGTGACGCATCCGAACAGGCTTATGGTACTTGTATTTACCTATTGTGTAAACATGAGTCATCTACCCATTGTAACCTTTTGGCATCAAAGACACGAGTAGCGCCATTATCTAAACAAACAATGCCGAGATTGGAACTCTTAGCATGCTTAATATCTACACGGCTTGCTGTTAGTGTCGTGAACGCTTTAAATCATTTGACAATCAACCAAGTATATTATTGGTCCGATTCTCAGGTCGCTTTAAGCTGGATCAGAAATACCAATAAGGAATACAAGCAATTCGTACAGAATCGGGTTGCAGAAATCAGGCGAATTTCGCCAATAGAGAATTGGAATTACTGTCCAACGTCAGAAAATCCTGCGGACATCTCGTCACGAGGAAGTACATCAACCGAACTAGCTGATAATCTAAAATGGTGGAATGGTCCTCATTTTTTGTGTCTATCTAAAGAGGAATGGCCTCATCAATCAACTGAATCTTGTGATCCAAACGATATCGAACTTACAAATAATAAATCTAAGAGTGTAGTCTCTTGTGTTACCTCTTCTAAGAACAATCAACCAAACCTGAATTTAGAAGTTATCATATCTGGACCGAAGTTCAGTCGGTTATCAACTCTTTTGAGAGTGTCGGCATATGTATTGAGGTTTGTACATAATGTGAAATGTCGTGTCAATCAATTTAATCCTAATCAAGGAGAACTCAGTTTCGAAGAACTGAAATCGGCTGAAAATCTGTGGATTAAAACTGTTCAATCAAACATCAAACGGGATGATAAATTCAATCAACGATCTGTCTCACTCAATCTAAAGAAAGACAACAACGGTATTCTTCGTGGTTATGGAAGAATTGAACATTCAAATCTAGATTATGACGCGAAATATCCAGCATTCCTACTAGACCATGTGATAGACCTCAGATTTTGGAGTATCATTACCAACTTGATGAATAGATTCAACTATGATTTTCAGTTAGCCTAGTGTCTAAAGTGTCCAAATTTGGTTGATGGACTTCCGGGTCACTTTGCCAAATGTCAATTTGGCGGCCATCTTTAAAAATAACCGCCATTTTTTGTTTGAAATGGTGCAAGTCAGGGAAATCCTCATAACTCCACAACCGATTGGCCTATTGATATGGAATATGGCTCAAAATGTTCATAAAACAATTCTACATCTGCTGGTATATGATACATGTTGTTGAATAAATCATATTGTTTTCCAAATCAACAGATTATTCTAAAAATACAGCGTTTTTGATATTTTTTTTTCAATATTTATTTTATAAGTTAACTACCGAATCATGCTCAGAGCAATTTTAGCCAAATTATGTATTTAGTCTCCTTAAGGTATAAATGTGACATCAATGTATGCTCAGTAGCGCTCTCTGTACAGCGGTGGCCGCAAACTCAACACAAGTCTTGAGTAGACTTTCAATCAATGATGAACGTCCCAATCTGTGAATTTCCACTATATTTACTTTCTCTCATGGAGAATTCAAGTAAAGTTGAGATTTTCATGCAGATGCTGCGTTCCTAGGGTAAGTTTCTATGTAGTCATAGTCACCTGAAGCAAACTATGACATCATAATCTATTATGACATCACACCTAGCAACGCACTAACTAGAAACGAACCAGTTGAATATTCCAATTTGCTGTGACAAGATCCTGCTCTGGATTACAAACTCTCGTCACCATGGCTGATTTTCCTAAACGGCGGAAACTTGACCAGGTCTCATGTTTGATCTGTGGTGAGCAGGCTTCATCAGATGAACTTGTTAAAATAAAAGATGCAGATTCCTGGCATACACTCTGTGACGCTGCAAAGACTAGGTTATTCGACCCGATCCAACTAATAATATACCAAATGTGTTTTACCACCGTGAATGCAGATCAAGGTTCACTCACAAGAAAGAACTGTTAAGATTCAAGAAGCTCGCTGATGACGAGGGGAAAGAATCTGTAACACAAAGGAAATCATCACGTCAAGGCACATCAGAAACCACTCGTATATATGATAGAGTATGTGTCTTCTGTGAATGCAGGAACAAATGTTTAAAAGGTACATCAACTCGAGAATCGTTGATTCAAGCAATAGAACTCCGGGCTGACATGACACTTCGAGCTGTCGCAACCGAAAAAAATGACAAAAAGATGTTAGCAA